ATTTTTTTTCTTGCATTTTCTACTTTTCTTTTTCGTGTCCAAGAAGAATAGAATGAATGATAAACAAGTTTCCCTCCATAAGCATGTGAAACTTTCTTCTTTCCTTCTTTTTTTTTTCTTCCATTTATCCATTTTCGCAATGAATAACTTTTTTCTTTTCTAGAAGAATAATAAAAAGCTGTTGAACTATCCCCACAAACTTTTAGAATAATATGTGTAATAACGTATTAGTCTACAAAATTTTAATTTGTTTAAACAAATACCAATATCATGGAGAAGGTGCTTTTGTTTTAAACTTAGAGGACTTAGATCCTACTTTTTGACATATTGTACCCTTCAATTGGTAACAAAAAGTCGTCAATTTTGTTAACCACAGTACAACAACCAATCCATTACGCCTTTTTAATAACTAAAAATTAACATAATCAACTTTTTTATGTTTCTACTTTTCCCTTCTTTTGATGAAACTTTTATGTCATATGGATGGATAATCATCATTTGATTTAAAGGTATATTAAACAGTCTTTTTAAAAGAGCAGTCACCTTTATATAGTTTGGCCCTCATATAAATATGGTCCAACATACATTAATCCACTTTAAATTTTCATTTATAGCATATGAACTATTAGAGCATATTTTTAATGTTCACTTCCTATCGTTTTCTTTTTCCTTTTTTTAACCAGGAAAGTATTCTATATATATGTTTATCTAATAAATATTAAGTATTGAAAACAGAGGAGAGCCTTTGAGCAACGGTAAAGTTGTTTTTATGTGATCTATGGGTCACGGGTTCGAGTCTTGGAATCAGTTACGAAGGGGAGCCTTGGAGCAACGGTAAAATTATCTCTGTATGACCTCACGGATTCGAACCGTGATATCATCCACTGATCCTTGCATCAGGTTAGACAATCTACATCACATCCATTGAGATGTGAAACTTTCCTGGACCCTGTGTCAATACGGAATACTTCGTGCACTGGACTGCACTTTTATTAACTATTGAAAACCTACTTTCCTAACTAATCCTGACCAATTAGATGCAGGACTGTATTATTCCTACAACAATATATTTTGCGAGTTTTCCTTTCCCTCTGAAAATTTCAAAATAGATAATTTAATTTTTCAAACTATACCTAAAAAATAAATGGGAGTGATAATGAGCCACCTATATAAGTGGTTTTGTTTTGCCCATATTCCGCCACCTATATCTTTAAGGAGAACCTAAAGTTAGTTAGTTTCGTATGACCATATATATAAGATAGAAATGTTTATTTATTATCTTTCTTTGTCAGGAAAAATAAAACAAAAAAGAAAGAACAAAGTAACTTTATCTTTTTTATTAGTTTTTGATAACATTATCATAATAAGCTAAATTGGATCACGTAACACTTTGGTGGTACTATAATCATGAATCATGATAATAAGAAACACGGGAGCAGGTAATCTATGGTTAGGGTCAGTTTAATTATCATAAGCCTCCTTTCTATGTTATCATTATTAAGATGATTATAGTAGCAATTTGGAAACAAATGGAAATCATTTGTAAAGCTGAAACGAACAGCAATCCTTTTCTTTTCAACTAAAGTATATTTTTTGCATTTTTTTTATGGTCCACAATATTTGATTTTTTTCCAGATATCAAAAAGTAATTAACTTTTTTTTCCCAATGTTGTGCTTAGAGTAAAGAGTCTAGGAGTATTTGTTATATTTCTAATGAAAATTTAAGGTTAATATTGTCATTTTTATTGTTAAGTAATGCTAAAAAGTAAATTCTTTAATATGTGTGAATATAGCCAAAAAATCAATTAAAGTGGACCGAAAAATATAACTTATTGAATTCAAATGGTGATGAATTAATATTCCCAACAATTATAGGGTTATTTTTTGCAGATCTTATTTAATATGACATTTATAATGTGTCCACCAATTTTATGATGTTTGATCAAGCATTATATTCATAAGTCATAACATTTATAGCAGATGTAATGGTGCCAGAGGACGGACAGTAATTTTGCAGTAATTGTGACGTGTGAGTATTAAGGCGGAAAAACAATAATGTATATTAATTTAATTTATTTTAAAAAAAATTACGGCTACGACGCCCTTAAATAAGTTTAAATACTATTTTGGTCCATCCTATTAAAAATAAAATACTATTCAAAGAGATAAGTGAACCAACACTAACTGAAAAATGGAAATTTTGGTCCATTCTTAAGCTATACCCTTTAGTCCCTACATCACGAGGTCCTGAAAAAGCGTGAAACTCAATTGTGGCGGAGCCAGAATTTTCAATAAGAAGAGTCAAAATATAAATAAATACGAATACGAGAAGAAATTAAGGGGGGTCAACATATATAAAATATATGTAAAAAATAAAAATTGACCTATCTATATAGTATAATTTTCCGATGAAGATGTGTCAATTGACTTTCCCTAGCTCCGCCACTAAATTAAACGCAATAAAAACATTGATTTAAGTATAACCCTGGCGAAAGACGAAGGCAGCAAGTAAAGCGAGGACAATATATCAATCTAATGTAGTTGAATTGTCAAATGGTGAAAATAGAGTTAGAAAGGTAGGGACCGATTGAGCTCATATGGAGTCACAACTCACACATCATTAGTCCTTGTCAAATAGAGAGGTTTCAAAGTGGAACTCAAATTGCTTACATTTCTAAAACAAAATAAAAAAATAGTGGAATATTGGTTCTTTTTATTATTTTCCGCAGAATATTCAGCAAGAATGTATCGATTAGTTGACCTCTGAAAATGGACCAATATGTTAAAGAAGAAAAGTTAGTTCAACATAATATGGACATGGAACAGAGATATTTCAACATATTTCTAACTACACAATGATGACCTTAAGTTCAAGTGGTGGAGCTTAGATTTTGACATTAGAAGATTCATCTTTGAAATTCAAAGTAGTTTTTTTAAGTCAGTAGTCTAATGGTCCATCCTTTTTCTCTCTATTAGAATAAAGAAAGAACTCTTCCCATTTTTACTATTTATTGTGCCCACAATACACGTTAGATAGGCAAGTTAATAATAATAATAATAATAATAATAATAATAATAATAATAATAATAATAATAATAATAATAATAATAATAATAATAATGAAAAAATACAGGAGGAAAAGGTGGAGGATGACAACCAGAAGAAGAAAGAAGAGGATAAGCTGGATAGAAACTAAGACAGGAGGAAAAGATAGCAGTAAGAATGCAAGCTGGATCACACCTTTGAAGACAGGGAAAACTCAGGTCATAGGCTCTCAGCAGGTTGCTAGGGCAAATTCCTTTCAGGCACTTGATAAATCAGGAACTAGCAAGGCACAAGAGATAGTTCTAGTGGGCAAAGTGGGAGGTCAATCCATTCCTTTGTGAGGGAATGGTTAATATTCTTTCTTGAAATGTGAGGGGGCTTAATGCTTCCAATAAGCAAAAGGAGACTAAACTCCTTTGCAATGATGAAAAAGTTGGAATGATAGGATTACTATAAACAACAATTAAGAAGGATAGAATTGAGCAATTAGCAGGAAAACTATTTAGTGGATGGCAGTATATCACAAATTTGGAGGCTCATTATAATAGAAGAATATGGGTTACTTGGAGGCTAGAGTATTACAGAGTTACTCCAAAAAGCATCACTGCACAGGGAATAACATGTAAAGTTTATTATGTCCCTCTCCAAATTCAGTTTGCTATTACCTTTGTGTATGCATTTAACACTAAGGAAGAGAGGAAGAGCTTATAGAGTTGGTTAATAGAACAAAACTCAGAATGCAAGTTGCCTTGGTTAATCACATGTGACTTCAATTCAGTTTTAAACATGGAGGACGGGATAGGGGGTAATCCAGTTACATGGGCAGAAGTAGTAGACTTTAACAATTGCATGGGAGAATGTGGATTCCTAGAACTACCATACCAGGGCAGTAAATATACTTGGATGATAGACACGGTGGGCAAAGAATTTATTCAAAAATAGACTGGACTTACATTAATGGGGATTGGTTAGACCTTATGCCATCATGTAAAGCCAATCTCCTATATGAGGGTATAAGTGACCATTGTCCTATAAAGATAACTCTATCAGATGATACTCATAGGGTTAAAAGATCATTCAAGTACTGCAATGCTTGGGCACAACACTCTCAGTTTAATCAGATGGTAACAGATTTATGGAGAA